GGAAAAATGAAGAAAAAAACAGATGAGGGCGACTTTTATTAATGAATTGCTTATTTTATGGCAATAAAGTTAGTGATGTTATCTGAAGTTATTTTTATTTTATCTGCTGGAAAAAATTTTGGGGGGCAAAGGAATGATAGCGAAACGATAAGAGAGTTGAGCTTATCTGAATAATACAAATGATATTCTTATAGGACCTTCACATTTCGTTTACTTTAAGCTGATATATTAGTAAGTATAAGCCAATACTTTTAAAAAACATTTCACTCATTCCTGATTCTTCGCAATTTCTGAGTTTTTTTATTTTTGAAAAAGAAAACTGAAATTATTTTCAGCAAACCTTGGAAGCATTTAGGAAAACTGAATGTGTCTTCAGTAAGCATTTCCGAAATTAGTGCTGTCATTTCCCTTTTTGTGGGGAGTCTTCTTCCTATCGCATTTATCTACGAGCAACGCATCTTCTCATAATATGCGAGAAATTTCCAGCGGATAAATCTTCAACCAGTTCAAGATGAACTGCCCCAGTCGTTAAACATGTAAAGAGGGCGATCCATCTTTTTACTACTCCAGTAGGCGATTTAATCGAGAGGGGGTCCAAATAATCTAAGCGTACCTGCTCGAATGATCTTGATCGCCTTACTGGTGATTCTGGTAAGCTTGGCATTGGTGGCAATTTAAAGGGTTTTGCTTTCCATCGCTTGCAAGCCATGCAAGAGGATATTGTTCGTTTTATTGTGGCCCTTCATTTCGGAATCCAAAATCTGCGCCTTATTGCAGATAAGGTGTGCGCGACACCAGCGTGGTACAACCTATCATGTTGTTGCCAAATGATGAATTTAGTTATATCGTTCTTATTTGGTAAATAAATGGGATATTTGCTTTCATTATCCAGTTCTGAATCTTCTAGTCGAATATTGAATCTCCACAACTTGCCATTTCTTTGTTGGAAGAGATCCCATCTCTCTATTTCTTCACTCGTTAGGTTCTGCGATTGTGCCTGCCTGATTAATAACCACTCTGCTCAATTGTAATCGTCCTTTGACATTTTGCTACCTGTTATGGACAATGATTTTAGCCAAGGTATATCCCTTTTACAAGACCTTTTAATGAATCGAAGAGTCCAAACGGTTACTTTAATTATCTTAGCCCATTTACTAAAGCGGTGTGTTTCAATAAATTGGATTTTATCTTTTACATAATCATTTGTGATAGTCTTCGCTAAATTTGTCATTACCGCTTGTATAATCTCGTCCTCTGCATTGTAACTGAACCCTCCGTTA